AAAATAATTAAAAATAATAAAACGAGAAGGAAACCCACGATTATCTGATAATTAACTAATTTTTACTTGGTTATTCGCGAGGGGTGCGCCACATTGTTCCAATCCGGGTGTTGTGAGTGAGTGTGGGATGGATGTCTGGCGCGGGATTACCACCGGTGCTATTTTGCCTGGGCTTCATTGCTTGGGTGTTACCGCTGGGTCGATTCGGGCACGGTACTCTGGTTCGAGACAGGCTCAGTATTATTACAGCGCATTGTTGCACGGTACGACACCCGACACCGAGCGGTATGATAATAGTGCAGGCGGGGGTAAATCAGAGCGTTTCTTCGGAACAGGCATTGGAACGCTTGCTGGAACGGCACTAGTATGGGACTATTATCGCAACGACATTGGCATGGGCGCTAATGCAGATTGGCACAACTATTGGCTCGGCATCGACACAAACTGGAACAGTATAGGACTATTTGACCTTGGTATTTGATGGTCCGACGCTTTGATTTGTTTCAGGGCTGCTGCAGTTCACAGTTCGCTGCATTGATAGTGGCACAACACTGAAACAGAGTACTACAGCCTGCGCTGTTCTTTTTGGGGTTCGGAGACAGAAAAAGGTGCAGGCACGTTGCCTGTGACGTTGCGCAGATTCTAGCTGCGATTCGGTACTTCGACCTTGGAATGGGCACCAGTTGGCTACTTACACAGTCCTGGGACGGCAGGCCATGGCGCGGACCTGCTGGGTTTAGAAATTGGTCACTGATTTGCCGTTGGAACAACTACCGCAATGGACCAGGGCGCGATGACCGGGCCTGGATTGACGACGGCAAGAAATTTTCTGGGCCTGGAGCATTGGGGTTGTAGGGACTGCGACGCGGACCGAGTCGAAGCAGGGCAGTTGGCCACAGACAGTGGATATAAGGGAAGTAAACGGGTACCAAGGGGCGTTTTTCGAGGATGCGTGCCAGGCGTACCCAACATCCCGGAAGTTGACTGAGAGGGGAGTGACGTGACGCAAGGAAGCATGCACGGTGACTCAGCCACCGCTGCCAACGCTGGCTGAAGACGACAGACACGGACGGTGAACAGCGGCGGGTGCAGCGAACGTACAGTGGTTCCGTGCTGCCGCAGCGAGCGAGTGTGTCGGAACAGCGGACTAGGGGTGTGCAGCGGAGATGGTGCCTGTTCGTGCCCGTTCGCGGGGGCCAGCGGAGGATGAGCGTTGGTTGATTGGTTTGTACTACAACAGGATAAAGAAGTAGAAAGGAAGGTAATAGTTGGTGTGCAYTGAAGACGAGGAGCAGGAGGAAGAGAGGTCAAAAGGTCAAGAGGAGCAGAGAGAAGACCATTGTTGTGAGACTAGAGGTTGCCATATAAGTGAACTCTGTCCGTGCTACTGTGGGTGGCTGGTATTATCCTTTGCTTGTTCGATTGCTGAGGCCGTAGACAGAGATTTTGAGTAAAAAAAAAAAAAAAAAAAAAAAAAAAAAACAGGCGACGCGCCGTGCGAAGTGCCCCTCTGGGGAGCTATAACAGGTCAGACTGACGACAGTCATCAGTTCTTGCAGGTGCTGCTGCCATGGGGGGGTAGGTAGTGCTCGAGGCGTCAGCAAGGGCACAGGGAAGGACAGAGCGCGTGTGTGTGTGTGTGTGTGTGTGAGAGAGAGAGAGAGAGAGAGAGAGAGCGAGAGAGAGAGAGA